GCCTGTGATTGAGTAGGTCTTTTCTAAAAGATTACTTCATATTTACTTTTGAAATCTCTATATTGCCCTCCCATATAATCAACAATTACTTACACTTAAAGCTTTTCTTCTTCTCACTTTTTTCTCACTCTCTCTTTTATGTATAGATTTAATAATAACATTGTTAATTTAATTACATACTATATGTATAGTCCGATTTGAATAAGTATTTTTTAAGCATGCTCTAGTTTTAGCCTCGTTACTCGATATTTTTGATATAGTATTTAATAATCGACATATAATTATGTTTTACAATTAAAAAATTGAGTATGCTCCGCAAAAGTTTGATCTCTTGTCTGCCATCGTTAAAGTCTATTGTTGCTCGACTAGCGTCAAAAGCTCATTCACACAATCGGAGAAATTAAACTTTTTGTAGAAATAATCGGTACTAACTTTTCGACCAAATATCGTAGTTTAACATTACTTATTAATCTAACGTGCGTGCAAAACATGAGATTTGAGGGCGAGTAGATTTGGGTTTGTTATATATCTAATGATTTGTGAGTGTTATGTTAAAGTTTCAAAATTTTATATGGTATGGTAAGTATATTAAATTTGGTACCAAGTCCTCAGACAACTCCATGCGAGCTCTGTGCAATTAGAATTTCTCTCTCTCTGATGAGAAACTTTCAATTTTGATTGATACCCATTTCTGATCTCACCTCAAGGTTCAAGGTAATTTTTACAGGAGTGTTGCTATATGTAAAGATGATGTGAAAGATTGTGTAGGTTCATTATAAGCTAGGGCTATAAAAGGATAAGAACTGTTAGTGAATGAAATTAGAGAGAAAAAAAAAAAAAAACCCTCTCTTTGCTGTCTCCTCTCTCTGCTCCTCTCTCACCTAATTCTGTGTTTCCCTTCTGTATTTTTCAGTAACATGATGGTTGTCGAAACCTAGAATCGTCGGCTAATTTTTCTCTTTCTTTTCCAAGTTCGGAGGAGGAGACAAATTTCTCGATAATCTGTGCAACAGAGCATTGTAAAAGCTCCTGAGACCTAATTCTGCATTCACTTTTATGTGGTTGCTGAAAGAAATCTCCATGTAAATTGGACGAAATTTTCTATTTTCTACCTGATAAATCGTCCTGCCAACTTCGGACCATGCATGCTAGGAGATAATTCCAGAGTAACTTCGACAGGAAACTGAATTCATCACAATCGGATTTCTTCAAGGGTCCGAGACAGACTTCAACAACCATTTTGAGCAAGTTCAACAGCGATGAAGGTATAGTTTTGATAACTTACTTAGCGAAATCACCTTATGCTGCACTGCACCCTCTTTCTTATATAACTCGGACTGTGTCAGTACATTAACACAAATCAGATATGTAGGAAGATCCAGCAACCTCACAATAAGAAAACAGTACAAGCCGCAAATTCTTTCACATAAATGAAGATCCATATATTGAAGAACCTTGTTTTATCATGCTCGGCGAAATAAATATCCAAAAATTACTCAAAGCTAAGGAAAACATAGTATTTACCAGACCTTGCTGTTGTTTTACACAGTTTAAGCCCTGGGGGATGACATTGACATACACATTCCATGCGTGCAGAAGAATTCCATCCACAAACAGCCATAAGACTGAATTATAAAAGCTTTACAATGGATTAAAATCTTTGCTCAATTTGTCCCAGGAATATATAGAATGTTTACGAGCTCAAGCTACTCAGAAAATATAGAAGCATTAAAACAAAATTCTGAATTTGAGACAGCACATCCAGATAGAAGCAAAATTGCTGATCAAATGATTCAATCTACACTCAGTTGTACAACATACATTTGAGTGGACACTGAAAGCAAACCCCTTCTTAGAAAAAATTCCTATGTTCTAATAAAAAGCTAAACATTCTTCCTCTAGCAGTTAGTTACATGTGTTTTCTTCTTAAATTCACTAAAAATATTCTCCTCTTTATGGTCTTACTGCTTTAGCTCCCACCATGATACAGTTAATAGTTAATAATGGACTCGAAAGAATTTTAGGTCTAAGATTGCAAAACTGTTAATAAGTCAATCTCGACGTAGTTCTTCAGAAATTGACAATGCTAATCTAATGTTATACCTCCGCAACTCTTCTGTAGAAAAGAACATAAGCAGCTGAAGTTTTTATCTTTTCCTGGCCGATCGGATAGACATGGCTATCATCAAAGTCATACCACTGATCACCACCGTGCTACAATAGAAAGGGGAACATTAAGACATTCAGATTAATACAGTGCACTGTCATGCATACATGCGATTATCAATCACAAATTAAGAGAGATTAAGTCATTAGCTTATGAATAGATCAATTAGATCCTAAATATCTTTTTCTTCACAAGCAATTATGCAGGACTAATGCGCATGCTACATTCTAAAAGATGCATAAAATGGCCCAGCTAAAGAAAGCATTTACATTACGGTTGGAGAGTTACAGCTCTAATCACTTAAGGTTTTTCACCAAATCATGTCCAAGAAAAGCTCTTTTGCCTAACACTAGCCTCTTCAACATCCTAGAAGTGCAGAAAGATACTTAAATGGCTAGTACAGTGTTTGACATAAATTATTTTTTGGCTAAGAAAAGTTTATAAAAGAGTTCGTAAGCTCTCTGAGATTAATATTGTTGGAAACATGTTTGAATAGGATGAAAAGCCAAAGCTGGGTAATTAGAAAGCTTATAAGTTTTTGCAACAATTTAACATGAAAGAAGCTAGACAGCATATAAAGTCTTCCAATACATTGGTGATAAGTAAAAGATAATTTTATCTCAAAATTCTATAACTTAAACCCTTAAAACATTTTTGTCGCAAATTTCAGTCTTTTATTAAATTAAATAGCAATAAATAAGTATATCTTTAATCAAAACGTTTAATAGCATAAAGCTTATGCCAGTAAAGCACTCAAAACTTTACAAATAAACCTCCATATCTTAACTTAGCTAGACAATCTGTAAATAATTAAAAGAAGATCAATACAGTAAAAGCGGACGGCAGAAAAATGAAGGAACTTATAGTATTGCTTAAAGTGAAAGCTATTCGAAATTTTCCTAAGCGTCAGCATCGGATTAATTGACCTTTTAAGCGCCAAGAACTGGATGCCTTCAATGGTTTGTATATGCTGAATGCGGTGGTAATAGGTGAAGACAACTGATGTCGAACCAAGAGTTGTATTTAGTTCAGTTCTCATTCAATTCCTAACTAATTTCTACTTCTTACTTCAATATGATTTTCCATACCTTGTTATCTCAAGAAAGAAACTAGTTATCTCAAAAATGATTTTCCATACCTTGTCATCATTGTCAACTATGCAAGTATGTTTATCTACATAAACATACAAATTAGGGAAAAAAAAAGATTTCATGTGCTAACCAGAGCTTTAACTTCCTAAGGAGCAGCAGGTTCTAAAGCCGAGACATGAACCAGCAGAAGCCTGATGACATTCACCTATCCATGTGGGAAAAGGCCATCTAAAGCCACTCTTGACCAAAAATATTCACCTCAAACCAGAACATATGAAGAACATGGGGACATATCACTTACATGGACAAATGCAGTGTAATGACCACCTCCCATGCTTCCATAGTGATTGCTAACAGCATAAAGCATGTACCGAGCTGATGATTGGCAATTCCACTGGGTAACATATGGTGACAAATCAAGATCATCAGCAGGAAAATCAACATAAGTCTCAAGTTTGTTCTTTAGGAACCGACTGTATGAAAACCTCTTTAAATGAATAACGAGAATCTCTGGGAGTCTCCACAGATCTAATTTTTTAACAGCTTGACGATGTGTTTTGCAGCCAGGACAATACCTAGATTACATAAATGAAAACCAGAAATTAGCATGTGGTGGAAAACAAAAGCAAGCCACAGTTCAGACAAGGAAAGCCCAAGAAGACGTGAAATCTATAAGTGAAAAATTCATTATACCAATAAAACCGTTTGCCACCTCAGTACATTAAATCCTTCCTATGGAAGTTAAAAGAAAGAACCAAATGGAAAATGGAAGCATCAGAATAAATATCCCAGTCATGTAGAGGAAGAAAAAAAGAACACTAGAGCCAGGCTTAGTGTTATAAACAAGAAGCAGCTATAGCAGATGGGGCAGAAAGGAAGAATCCAAGATCTCATCTTATTACCATCATCAAATGTTTGACAAAAAGCAAGCCAGAGATTAAAAAGTAATGGAGCTTTCCAACTCCAATAGACTTCAGTTCACAAGGATTTCATAGCAGAATAAGCAAAAGAGAATTACTTCAATTAAGTTAGTATGCTGTGTGCGCGAATGTGATACCCAATTCCTTCACATAGGAAAGCTCTTCAAGAAAACAACAATTTTTTCTAGTGTTATAATTTAAAGTCAGATCCATTAAAATTAGTGACAAAGTAAGTTACTAGCCTTCTAGATCTTTTGACACAAGAAAAATGATACCCAACTTACTGTCAAACAAAAGCATAATATCAGGGAAATTCGTAGTGTGCAAAATGGTTCAGAAAAAATAAGAAACCAGGTTAAAATAACTTGTAATACCTCTCCTATGCAAGTCAGGTAAACAATTTTTGATAATAACTATTCATAATGGAAATATTTCTTCTGCTTAAGTTAAAAAACTATATACTATATAATTTCTACACTCACCACATGTCATCTGGACCAAGAGGCTCCTCAGTCAAGAATGCTTCAAGACACTTATACAAGGAAACAGACTCCTGAGGTCTCTTTGCAAAAAATCCAGACTTAAAAATTTCAGGTAAGGAGCTAAGAAGACGTGTATCATACTGTTCAATCGGCTTTTTTGGCCAACATACTAGCACATTAAGCCGCTTGGATACTCCTGTAATTGCTAGAGGTTCGTGCATTTCTATCAAAGACTCCTTTGAAGTTCCTTTATCATCTGTCAGGTAGAATTTTAGTTTAGAATCTGTACATGAAGCCTGTTTCACGTTAATGGGATTTCCTTCTCCATCTAAAACAGGATCACTACCATCTTCCCTCCCAGGAGCTTCTTCCATTGCACAGCCTTCTGTGGAATCACAATCATCTGCACTACTCTCAGCAGATAATCGAAAGGGCGCAATCAATTTCAAGTACAGACTGCGGAGATCGAACCCATTGACTATATCACAAAGCCTTGCTACCATAGGGATTCCAAATGCCTTCCAAGTTGGAGTCAGCTTCCCATTGAAGTACTGCCTGACAATAGAAAATTAATAAGATATTGGAAGGTACAAGGTAGCTCTAAAAAATATCTCAGTGAGGGAGCTGAGACCAAAGCTATAGGTCAGACAAAGAAGGGGAATGGGATAAAAAGGATGCTAGAAGTGAACAAATATAATTAATATGAATAGAAGAAGCCAACATGCTGAAAATAACATCAAAGTTACAAACAAAACAAACTTACTCTTCCATTTGCTGATGAATAAATACAACTAAAGGAACTTTGACCATATCTTTCATTAATCGATATGCAACCAATCGGTCACCATCTCTAATCAAAGATAACGAATCAGCAGGCTCTTCTAGATATCGTATAATGCGGTTGTTGTATATCTGCACAGGAGTCTATTGCCTCAGAGATTTAAGAAAACACATTTGGATAAGTCGAGTAACAAAATTGATAAAAGATAGTATGCCATTATGTTTTGGAGATACAAAAAGGCCATGTAAAATTGAAGAAGACATATAGGGGGAGGAGACAATAAATACCTTGTATAGAATCAGGAATATTTTTTGGAGAAGACCAAAGGGAAAAGAAAATGAAATTGCCAGAAAAAAATGGTTAGAAATGAAAAGAGAAATGGGATCTGAAATAAAGGAGTTTTTACTCAGTACAAAAAGATAAGTTTTTCTTTTACAAAAAAATGACAATTTGTAGTAATAAGCAGCCTTGTCAATTAGTTTTTTTTAAAAAAAAAATAGAAAATGAAGCTTTATTAAGAGAAAGGAAAAAGTACAAAAAGGAGAATAAAACATCTGAATGATATCATTGGAACAAAAGAAACAACATTAACACAAAATAGATGAACAAAATGTATGAGCTGTTAATGAGTAAAGATGTTAGCCTCCCAATTCTGATGGAGATTGGAAATTGCTATCTCAAGAGATGTCCATGTGCAGCCTCGTAAAATAGTGGGAAACAGTTTCTCTCCTACAACTCCGTGGAAACCAACGTCAGCTGTTGGATTTACTTTTTTGTACTTCCACAGGGACTGACTTAACTTATGGCACTGGAAAACATCAATATTTTGGAACCAACCTAGTACATCCAAACATTAAATACACAACATACCTCAGCCACCAATAAGGTCTCATGATCCCGTAGAGAACATGCAGTTCCCAGAGCCTGAATAAGGTCTTCAAATTTTCCAGGTTTCGGGACAGTCACAGTACATGGAGATGGCTGAGTTGTGCCATCATTACTCACAATCGTTAAAGTCATCGTCCGCATTGTTGTTGACGGCAGAGGTAGAGACAGATACATGAAGGGATCAAAGGTAACAGAGACCTTTTTGCAAACAGGACAAACTAATGTTGATTTATATTGACCCTACAATGAAAATTAGATTGCAAATGTATCACATGCTAATAAAGAAACTGCAAGAAAATGCCCAAGCTGCATACTAAGAAAAAAAGGTCTAATGCAAGACGGGAAACAGATTATGTTCGGAGTAATTCAAATATATTAGCATCACATGCTAATAAAGAAACGTTAAGAAAGAAAATGTGCAAAGTTTCACCTTTCAAGTTTCTTTGAAATGTTTTCTCTGCTTCTCTTTCGGTTAAGGCTCATGGTCTATTTCTAGAGTTTCATTTATCAACATTGAACGGGATTTGGCTACCCTTTGGAATTGTACTTTGTCTTGAAGCATTTTCTTCCATTTTGTGTCTGCTTCCCTTCATTCTAATATTTTTGTTTATTTTACCTTCTTTTGAAAAAGTGCAAACTACATTTCTTGGAAAAAGACTATTAGAAAAGATGCTAACCATATCAAATTAACATTAATTTAAAATGTTTAAGAATCCTACAAAAGAAAATTGCTCAGAATCAAATTAACAAATCCCAACTAGGACCAAGATGTTCAATCTGTGTGGCGGATTGTAGCAGCAGCTGTAACAGTAACATCAGGAGCAAGAACTTCGCACAACTTCCTCTTCCTCCTAGCTCACTGCCTTAGGCCACCACCATTCTGGTCAACCCCAGAGCAGCTGTAACATAAGGGAGCATCTCGACAGCTTTCATTCTTCATCACTGGTCGCTGTAGTCCTCGGTCTCTGGGGCTAGGTTTCAACTGAGTGGGGGAAAGGCTCACGCGGTTGTGGAGCAAGAAAAATACCACTTTAACCCACTGTACCTTGGCTAGATGTTAGGTGTTTCATCTCTTCCATCTTTCACAACAGCGGGAATGCAAGCTGAGCTTTACATCACATGCACAACTGCTGCAAACTGGGGTGGCCAGTTTGGACCCTCGGAAGTTCGAAGGACCTTTCCAAGGCGATCTTGGAGTCCTATGCAACTTTCCAGCTGAATCTTGGCCTCAATCAAACCTGTTTGATCAAGGCAAAAAGATCAGTGAGATTTTTCTCACCAAAGGAAGATAACTGTCCTCTACAATCAGGAAATTCTTGGCTGCAGAAAGGAAGTCTTGATGTGGTTGTAGTGGAGAAAGAAGAGAATGGCATCAAGATTAGCAAAAACAGAAGAGGATTTAGGCCTCTATAATATTCTGGGGAAAGGAAATGGAGTGGATCGCACAAACGCTCATGGATTTCTACTAGGAGAAGCGGAGCAGTTCATGGGTTAGGAGTCTGATTGGTTCTCGACATTCATTATGAATAGCGTTAAGGGAGAATTGGGGTGGAAATTATCTGACCTTAACATAGAGAAGGAAGTAGGAGGAGAATTATCATCCTGGAGGTTTTACAGGCCAGTGGCTACTAGAGAATGCTGGTGGCAGTGTGTAACTAGATGGGAAATCTTTTAGGAGCAGCTCTAACAATCAAGAACAAAGCAGAAGACTCTGCTACTGGAAGATTTCCATCCACTAACAGATTGCCAGGTGGGAGTTGTCCCAACAGCGGGATTTGGCTGCAAGTGATGCTGGAGGAGCTTGAGCAGTCGTTTTCCGGAAGTGGTTAGCAAAGGAAGAGAGAAGCAGTATCAAGCAGGGGAGACGAAGCCTGGCATTGAAATGAGTCAGTAAAATTCTGGGTCAAGACCCGATCCAACAAACACTAAAAGCACGATCCACATGCTTTAGTGGGTGGCCCAAATATGCCTAATCAGGCAGGATATAAGGAAAGGACCATCCAAAAGGCCACTGCAAAAGAGAAAGGAAAATAGGCCCCTAGATCCAAGCCCAGGGTTCAGTGGCAGGTGAAATCAGGGAGAAGAAGAGAGGAATCGATGATGTTGACAATCAGGA